TTCAGTCGTTGAGTCACAGTTCAATATTCTAAAGGGGCAATATTTGAATTCATGAGTGTTTTGGTGCTCCATGATAATACTGGGAAACCTAGTAAGCTATATGGTTAACTTCATCTGATAAGTGCTTTTCATCTTTTATTTGGGGGCTACTACTAGTCCTTATACTGAATCAATGGTCACTGTGATCACAGTGCAACGTATTTTTCTTCTGATGGCGATAAATAGATCACTGAGCTGTGTGAAGACATGGTTGACATTGAAGGGAGTTTTTTTGGCGGTGAACATCAAAGTATTCATTTTTTTGGTCTGCAGTCCTATTTAACTGGCCACACAGCTGCCCATAAGCTCTCATCTCCTACACGTCAACTTCGGATTCTCGATTCGCCATCTCTCATTCACATTCCACTAGGATGATTGCCTGGTGCGCGATTTCACTCAGCAGTCTCGTCAGTGTATGCTCAGTCTACCTCCATTTCCTTCGGCATATTTGCTGGTTGGTTCGTTCGCAGAGTTGTTAGTTGTTAATCCTTTTTGGCCATCTAATCTTCAGTATGGGCTTAGAGAAGACAGCAGTTGATAAATGTCTGAAGCCTGTTCAAAATGCTTTTGGTGATGTGTGCGCCAATTTCCTTGTCTTTCCGATTTTGTCTTTGACACCCCCACCTGTAGGTGAAACGATATAATGCCCAGATAAGCGAAAGAAGTTACTCCTTTTAAATTTCTCTTGTCGATAGTGACTGGTTCTTATTTTTCTTCATGACGACCGTCTTCTCTATGTTCACTTGAATTCCTGTTGGTAATCGACTAACATTGGGCTAAAAAATTTCTCTAAGTTTAGAATACTTCAGTATTGTCAACTTTTGCGTTTAATTCAAATCATTCGCGATTCTTAACTTTTGCCTAACTATGATATGAAGCCACCAGAATCTTGACTATCATTGATTTTGTCACAATATAATAATAACAATAATCATAATGTTGATTTATAGAATGGCAAATGTCACATTGTTCCCATCTCAAACCTCACACTTGCTATCGATCTATATTAGATATTCTTCCAAATGTTTACCACTCTCTCTCTCTCCCTTCCTTTATCTAAGAAGGATATCAGATTTCAAAAGTCATAAATCAACTTTCGTCTCTTTTCTTTCCTTTCTCTAGTCTTTTCTTTCTCAGAACGAAAACACCTTTTTCTGAGCAACCACAAACAAACAAACAAGCAAACGAGTAGTGTACTCGTACACTCACCTACCCTCCCCCCCCCACACACACATACAACACACAGAGAAAAGACAGTTGACCATTAAGACAAACAAATAAATAAATCAATTGTATAAGTAATTAAATTAATTAGTCAATTAACTTAACTCGAATAGAGTTTAGCTGATTTCAGTTTTACTAGGAATGAACATAGGCATAGATATTGATTTTTGTAAGACATTTATTGATCTTGAGGAGAATGTTTCTTTTCAAGAAAAACCTGAGATTATTGCATAACAAATTAAATGACCAGAAGATGTTGTATTACAACACCAAATCGAAGGCAATATGTGGAGAAAAACTGAGTGTTTTAGAAAGAAATCACAAAATATAATCGTGAAACAAAAAGAACATAAGATGAAGCGAAGTGAAATGCAATAGATATCATGGTCGTTTAAATCTGGAGTCTTGCTAACTTTAACCGCATAACCCCATAGAAATAGTTAACGAAAACCGCAGAAAAAACTTCGTACAATATATGGCACCAAGAAAGATGTACCACAGGTTGTGTGAGGGCTGAGATACTGCCCGGGCGTCCAGACCGAAGCAGGTGGTTTTCTTAAGGGACCATCTTTCGAGCCTTTGACTTAGAGTCTAATCCGCAAGTCAGCGGAGCAGCATCAGGAGCTGCATTCCCATGGTTGCCGGTGATCCATATGGGTTCATACCCCATTCGATCCCATTGGGTTCTGGAGCCCATGTACCCCATGGTAACTGCTTTTAGCCTAACCGCTAACAATCTTCCTGACATGGTAGGACCTGCAGGGGCATGAGTCCCAACCAATTTAGCTTGTTGGGTCACTGCGGTATTCAAGCCCGACCACCACGGCAAGGTAGCAGTTGTCGGCCAGGAGAAATAGTAAACAATGATATCAAATTAGGTTGTGAAATGATGTCAGTAGGACTACCGTTGAAAACTATATGGAGTATTGAACAGCCTGCCTCGTCCTGATTGACTACCAGACGAAGTTATCAGAAATCCTAGTGAGAAATCGAGAGGAGTGAGATTGACTCATTTGTGTGTGTGTGTGTGTGAAGAAAAATACTCACTGATGATGACATTGTCTGGTAGTGGCTAGCATTACAAACATCATAAACTGGCAGAAGTTAGACTGGATCCTATATTATTGACTGAATGGCTAAGTAACTCGCCTCATAACACGAAGATGCTGACTGAGTCCAATTCCCTGTGGGGCCATGAGTGTGTACTCCTGAGGATTCGTCTAGTCTTCCTTAGTTTAATTCTTCAGCTTAATTCTTCATCCAACCGGCCTCATATAAAGGACATATATATATATATATATATAAAAGAAATTACATCATGTTAATAAAATTTCTAAGAAAAAAGAAATTAAATCTAAGGAAATGATGCCAACCAATCGATTAGTATCATATGTAATTGAATACATTTAGAAATTTCAATAACAGAAAACTAAAAAGAAAGACGATATTAATTTTATTTATGGCTAATCTGTGGATAATTTGTTTCCCTTTAAATAATGTTAATTTTATTATAAATTAAATTTCTTTTTAAAGGAAACTTACAATAATCATTAAACTATCATGTTTTGGCATCATATATCTTAAAATTCGGGTTTGTTGAGTTAGGGTTGAATGGTGTACATCAACGGTAGAATGTTTTCCAGCGACACAAGAAGTCCCGAGTTCGATTCCCTACTGACATACTCCTAAACCTCACCTAGTTAATTTACTAGCCGATAGCAAGTCTGGAAAAGACCGGGGAAGGGGCGTTGAAAGGTTAGGCGTGATGCTAGCTCACCCTACCCCGTATGAAACCACAACAATAACACCACCACGGCTGCTGAAGCTTCAAGGCTTCAAGCATGCAGATCTGCGTTCCACTTGTGGAACAAAGGAATGAAGGAATAGTGTATGCAGCTGATTTTAAATAAGTTATCTATCAAGAAGTTCGGGTACTTATGCTTGTTACTGGTGATAATACTGCTATGCTGGTTAAGCATTTTAACTATAATCCAGTCGGGTGGTTTTGAGTCGTATTCAGTATTGAATTCGATGAATAAAATATAGGTAACTCAAATTGTTCACAAGAAAATGTTTCCCAATACGGACTGTTCCTTATAATCTTACCAAAGTCACCCGATAAATTTCTCTCCCCATATAGTTAAGTGAAGACAGACAGCTTGATTACTATAGCTTTGTTCATTGAATTACTAGGTAATACATGCAACAGAGATTAATCACTACGTGCCTTACATACATGAGTGATTCTACTCAAAATATAAATCAAGAAAAGATAAATTACAGAACTAACAAAAGTGAATTGTACTCGAAACTTCATTCTAACAATGTTAATATATATCATTATATACCACGATAATAAGCAAACTAAAATGGGATCATATTTTACTACAATGATCGAATAGTATTCTCATATAGGGCTTAAAGCTTTGCCGTAGTGATGATGGTTTGTTTTTGTCTCCACACCATCGGTTTGCTAGCCTCGCATCCACCTTTCCCTCTTCCTCAGACTTAACATCGTATAATAAACCTACTGGGTAGGAGTGAGTCGTCCAGGAAGTCAACCCCGGACGACGTGAGTGGTTGGTGAGCATTCTACCATTGTACCACAGATACATGACTCACATATGTATATATTTATGATCTTCAACAGTTAGTTTGTAAGGACTGAATTTGTTTATTCGAGTTTGACTACGGATTGATATTGGTTAGAGTACCACTGAAAACTAGGAAGTACTGAACAGCTGTTTCATCCTAGTTTGAGAATAATCATCAGTATGCACCCACTGACAGGGTTCGAACCCAGGACCTTCCGGTTACAAAGCCACCGAGCTCGTATACCATTCAGCCACTGGGATCCGATTGAATGGCCAGCCCATGAATTCTAACTTGTACCAGTTCGTGATTTAGAGCGACCACCAATCGATGTCATCAGTGGGAAATCTATCCTCACACTTGACTGGTTACCTTGTAACTGGAAGGTCTTGGATTCGAACCCCAGTGGGTGCGTACTGCTGATGATTTACAAACTAGGATGAAACAGGTGTCTAGTACTCTAGTGATGGTTTTCAATGGTCCTCTAACTGATGCTATTTATGATCTTTCTAGTGGATGAAATCTGATCCAGAGAAGCATCATTTCAACTCTTTAAGAAACACAAGCTCGTTTAAAATAATGTACAACACTTCAATCAATGTTTCATGTTGTTTTATTCTCACTGATACCTGCAAATTGAATTGGTCATATGGGCCTTCTTAGACGAATACCTCAATATTTCCATGATTTCTAACTTCATATGCTTGTTTGATGGTGGTAAAAGCTTTAGAATCCAGGATGCATGTTTTATTTCACCTAGGACTCATCCATTTGACCTCCTTGTGCCTTAGTGGGAAAAATTGTACTCCCACTGAGCCTTGATCTCAGTAGCCATCTTTTGAGACAATAAAACGTTGTCAATTAGGCTACTGAGCCATAAAACGGATGGAATAATGGTCATTGAGTGCCAGTTTCAGGTGGGACATCATCATTCACTAGGATGTAGGTATAATTTACAGCGAAAACTTGTCTGGTACTTTGTATAGTGATAATAACAGCTTCACAAATCAACCCCAGGGCATAGGTGATAAGTCTGATTAACTAACTGTCTGTTAAAATTTAAAGCAGCACTTTATTGTACTCCAATTTTATATTAATCTTTTTACAATTTATCCTCTTCTCTTTCTTTTTGTCTATTTCCATAGTATGTAGCAAGTGAATGTGATGAAAATTGTCTACCGGCTGCACTACTAGCACCTGTTATTGCATCATCAAATTTAGAGGATAAAAAATCAATTTTTCATTTCAATGACAACGATAATCATAACCGAGATGGTGAAGAAGACGAGGAAGAGGAAGACAACGAAACTGAGGCGAAAACAGATGAAAAACGTATGCATAGACATCCAGAATCATCTTATTATCAAGAAGAAGAGCATTGCAGTTCCAATACTGGGAATACTGTCCATTTGAATACCACATCTGGTGTTGTCGGAGCGATGAATACTACTACTAGTACTACTGCTAATACTATTGATGAAGCTGAACATGATATGAAATCATCACGTGTATCACGTCGGAATCGTAAACGTCATTCCAGTTGTGAATTATCACTTTTAACCAATGACTATAAACGTTATCATTATGAAGATGATTCACCTGTGAATACCATTAATACTACCACTACTACTAATAATAATATTAATAACAGTAACCCTCAATCAATGCCAATATCCTCTTCATCATCGTCACATACATCTGGTAACCCCATTTCTACTAGTCACAAGTCGACAGTAACTAATTACAGTCAAGGTATACTGAATCCACAAATACACAATTCTGTCAGCCAAGAAATTGAGAATGATTCACATTTAACATCTACAGGAACACCACTTCACGATAACCAAACTATTCAGCCGTCATTATCTCCTAATCCAGTCTTGCCTATCGGTATACCACCATATCCAACTTATATGAATCCAGTTATTCTGTCAGCTTTAATGGCATGTGGTTATTGGCCATTTAATGCTTTATCACCATCACCAAATAATCCGAATACACTAGATTCATGGCGTACAACAAATCTAGCCTTAGATTCATTACAACAAACAGCTTGTCTTCTTGGGAATCAACAACGTCTAACAAATCCAAACAATTTTCCCCCAGTTCTATCACCACCGTGTAATTCATCGCCTAATCCAAGTTCACTTCAGTCGAATAGAAGTTCAAGTCCAAGAAATTCACTATCTGAAGAAATCATTTCAAATCTAGGCAATATTAATCAGTTGAATTGTCAAAATAAGCTAACAGGATTTCCATCATTCCCTATATCGTCGTCATCATCATCATCATCAACATTACCGAATAATCTTCCTGGATCGCATAAAAATCTTTTCAATTATTCATCATTACTTCAACCATCCAACCTACTTACATCACCAGACACAAATCCATTTCTCTTACAGCTATCATCGAATTGTCCAATTCCACCAAATTTCCCAATGAATACTCCTTTAGGAGATAATAACAATATTAGTAATAATAACAACAGTAATAGTAATAATAATAGTCAAAATATGCTGGCATCAGCTTTATCTGCATGGTGTACACAGCAGGCTGAAGTTGCTGGTTTATTCCCGTATAATTTACAAGGTAGAAGTCCACCTATACCACCATTATTCAATCCTAACCTTAATATGCCTACAGATAATCGTGATAATAACAATAATACCAGTAATGAGTGTAATTCTAACAGTCATCGTAACAACAGCAATAGCAATAGTAATAATAATAACAGTAACAATAATAACATTATCACAAACTTATTAAACACAGTAACAAATGTAAATCAAGGCATAAATGATAACAAAGCACATGTAAACACTTCGAATTCTCACATCCCATGTAATCCATCTCAATCAGATCCAGTGACCTCGTCAGCCTCTTGTTCTTCATCATCCGCGTCGTCTTTATCATCAACTTCTTCAAATTCTCTCGATGAACATCAATTCAATTCATCTGTATTTATAAAAACGTCACCAAAGTTAAATAATTCCCTTGATAATACTTCATTATGTCCATCTGTTCGTCTCACCTCGCCTTCTTCGTCTATGCCAAGTTCAACATTCAATACTATTCTCGGTTCGAATTGTTTAAATGGAAATCAATCATTGGCGAATTGTCAAACCTCTGGATCAACTTCTTCTCTAGCAGCTATGATGGCAGCGGCTGCCGCTGCAGCAGCAATGGCTGGTATCTGTCGATCAAGTAGTACAGATTTAACAACAAGATGCAGTATGCCAACTACATCAGGATTAAATCATCAATCACTGGCATCTCCACTGGCATCATCATCATCATTCCCTACATCAATCAATCAAGCATTTAAAAATTTGTCAACAGATTTAATGAATTTATCATCATCATCATCAAAAGAAATAACTGACGATCTCTTTAATTCACATGATATGATGATGATGGCAACAATGAGTGGTATGGCGACGACAAATGAACAACCTCATCAGTATGCGCATCATTCACAGTCGAAACATGCAAGACATCAACATCGTTCTCATCATCAACATCAACAACAACAGCATAATGATCATAATATAGACGATGTAAACGATGAATCCATTACAGAAATGGGTGATGATATTGATGAAGAAGGAATAGATGACGGAGAAACGCCTGGAGAGAATGATGATGAACTTGTTGATGAAATGTTATTACATGAACAAACAATGAATACTATGGATAGTAGTAATAAAGAATGCAATGGATTATTAGAAGAAACATTAGAAAATGATGTTTACACAGGGAATAATGGCGGTAATAAACATTTTGTTAAATGTTCAATTGGATTAAATGGTGAAGCGGTTAATTTAAGAAGTGGAAAAAGTAAGGATCTTTGCAAATATATATATCCATATATATTATTGGATATCGGTTTAATATTTTTTTATTTAGAATATTTTCTTAGCATATGATTGAATCTATCACTTACTTTCCTCCAATCACTGGACTTTTGAGAATATGAATAATTCATCCACCTCAATTTTAGATGATTGTAATCTACATATTTTCTTGAGGTTTTTGATCCATGTTTAAATTGATGAGTTAGTGGATTCCACCTCGACAGCTGAGGGGTAACATCCCTGCCATGAAGGTATTCAGGGCATGGAAATTGAAGAATACCATGTTTGCTGAGAGATACTGTAATCTGAAAAATTAGACATCATTAGATTTTAAACCCGCGTTGCTGATTCAAAGGTCGCATGCTGATCAACCGCATACGTAGTCCGGATTCGATTTCCTGCTGATGCATTCATGAACCTTGCTTAGTTTACTAGTCAGTAGTAAGCTCAGAAAAGTAGGAAGGTTAGACAAGAGGTTAATAACACCAAGGTTACTGAAACTACAAAGCATGAAGCCCTATGTTCCATTCGGAAGGCAAAGGAATAGAGAAAAAGTCCTCGAACTACTAACTAGAGAGGTCGTTTCCTGTTTTACCCCCAAACCCAAGGGATCAACTATCCCATGTAGGATTTTAATTGAATGTCATTTGAAGAGTGTGAAAATCTGGATGAAACAACTGTCCAGTCGCTTCTATAAACAACGTTATTTGTTGAAAAAGTTCAACTCCGTGATATTTGGCTATGATCACAGATCAGATTAAATAGACACGAAAACAAAATGATTTTTCTATTCCTTTATGTTCCAAGTAGAAGCTAGGCCTTCAGGCCTGAAGTCTTGAAGTTTCAGTAACCACAGTCTCGCTTTCACAGGTTGGTATTGCCAGCTTCATGTCCAGACTTCCTTCTGTCAGCCAATGGACTAACCGAGACTTAAGAGTGCGTCAGCCGGTTATCGAACTCCGGACGCACCTAAGTCGTTGGCGGGCATTCTACTGTAGTGGTTGTTTTTTCTGTGCATACGTGTGCATGTGTGCTTGCGCTTCGTTTTAACTCATAAGTGATTACGACAAATGACATGCAATTAGCCATAACTTAAGGTATTAACGGGCGTGTGTATGTGTTTTTGCGTGTGATTATCAAATTATTTCTCACAAATTAATGTTAACAATGTAATTCAGTATGGCAAGGAATCACTTTCATTGTCTTAGTCTTATTTTCTCAAATTTTCTGAGCTTTTTAAATGAGTAGATATCGACTTTTGATGGATTACAGTATTACAATAGATAAACAAGTACTCTATATAAGGCTTCATTTAGTTCATTGATCTGAAATGTCTGCTACTTACTTATGTGTTCGAAGTTTGACATATTAGTGTCTTATCAGTATGATAGAGTCATCAATCTTAATATACGACAGACACTAAGGAGTTTATACTAACTTAAGTATATACAAATCTGTAGAGGATTATTGAGACAGTTTTAGATGAATGAGTCTCTTGATGAACAACACTCACCTAGCTTTATTTTATCAACTCTAACAAAATCTATTTCTATTTAATCAGATATTGATTAGATTTCTTGGAATTTGATTAATGTCACCAATCAGTAGGATCATAGGTGCACATCGCTAAAGAGTCTTAAGTTAGGACGAAATGGTGCTTCTTAGTGCTCATTGATTATTCAAATTATGTTAGTTTGTGATAGAATCTATGCGAATTTCTAATCATCATAAAGAGAGTATTTGTGTAGTCATTTTAGTACCATAGTATACAGTAGTTGAAATTTCATATTAATTTGTTTACTGGATTTCTCTTTCTGTATTTATTTTTGTTATGTGCCGTTTTGTTCCTCTCTTCCTTGCAAACTCTACTTAAAACATTCTTGTTCGTTCTTTCACACTGTATATCTCGACCATTTTACTATCGCTTACGCCAGTAAATATGCTAGTAGTATGTACTTTTCTAACACCTTCAAACACTGTTTAAATTTTGGCTTTGCTACCGACATGCTAATATGTTGTTGTCAAAACTGACTGAGATAACTTTAATCTATGTAGAACTTTATTTATTGTTAACGTACTAACTGGATACAATATTGCAGTAAAAATGCTGAGAATTCCATTCTGTATCACAAGTACTGATTTGGAATAAAGCTATTATTATCTTATCTTCTTTCCTCTTCACACGATCTCCTTCATTTCAAACAACCTCGGTGTTTCGCAGTCGAGTTCTACTCTAGGACCTGCTTTGCGTGTGATGTCACCCAGTACTATCATCAGCGTATGTCCAGTCAACCTTCATTTCCTTATATTTGTTGGGTTGTTTCGTTGCCAGAATTGATTATAAGCAATCTTTTGTAGCCATTTCCACACAGTGAAATCGTTTTATTTAATAGATGACGTTTCGAAAAGAATGTATCACTTAGAATTTAATTGAAGTCTCGAGCCCATAATTTCATACGCCAAAGCATTATCCACTAGACCAACTGGGCCACGAGATCAACCTCTTGGGGAATGGGTCACATTAGTTATTTAGTTGAATTTTAGATTTTCCCGTCGATTGATTGGACCAAAGTGCTAGGTGGGAATATCACCGCTCTCTGGCGAATGCAGGTACATCCAGCTAGTTGACGAGTCCCAAGTGCGACGAAGTGCGCATTCTGGTGGATTCCACTGCTAGTCACCATCCACCAATTAAATTCTAATTAAAGAGGCCAAACATCCTCGAAGCATTTGCACAAGAAGCCGACATGTCAACCGGAGACCGAGCACTTCGGTTTAATCAATCGACGGGAAAATCTAAAATTCAATTGATGAATATATCCCTATTTATAGTCATATCACCAGTTGTTCTGCTTAGCTGTAGTAGTAAAATATTCCAGGTTTCCAAGGCAGGTGTTGAATCATTCCTATTGCGTGTATTCGCAAATGCCTTCATAAATAATCTGGAAACGCCTCATATCAACATAAGATGATTCCTAAACATTTCACTCATCAGTTTGAACTATTGAGTTTCTGTGAAACGTCCTCTGTTAAAATTCATTCAGTCTCTAAGTTTTACTTCGTATGATGTCTCTTTTAATCGCCTGATTTGGTTTTGTATATCCATTTTACTAGATAAGCACCATAAAGTGAATCAATCATTTGGTGTATATCGGTGATAGACATAATGTACAAAGAATGAAAAGGTTTTATTTTCTTTAGTCCCCCCTCAAAACTGGAAACATAAAGCTCAAGATTACCTGATAAGAAGGTATCACATTCACTGGAAATGATTAACAGTTCATGGAAAGTTTACGTATGATTTTCAAAGAAATATTATTTAACTAATATGCCTTCTCACCCCCCCCCACCTTTTAAATTATTCCATGAATCCAGGATACTGTAAACCTTCATAATGACTTATAAAGGAATAGTTTAAGTTGGCGTAAAGTTCAAGTTACACATCTACTTAAACTCATATTTGTCACTGAACTTTTTGAGATGTATGCTTAAGAGATCATTGGTTCGAACTCTGCCACAATCTAAGCTTTCGTTTCACTGTGCATCGGTGGCACAGTGGTTAGGACTCTCGCCGACCATGTACATGGTCCGGGGTTCGAGCCCACGCCGACGCACACCTGATATCTGTGGTCGGCCTGCGAAATTTTGGGCTACCGATATCCACGCTGAAAATTCCATACTTGTACCAAAAATACGGTGTGTAATCAAGCTGTAATAAAACAAAAAATACCAACCATTCCTCTTGTTGCATCAAAATGTATTTCTTGAATAAAAGTTATTTTAACTGGTCATATTATTATTAGCTGATTGATGGTTCGTTTTCATTTCATTCCTATACATTCCTAGTGGAACGTAAGACTTTAAGGTTTAGGCTGGAAGTTTCAGTAGCCGCTATATTGTGTTTTACCATGTGTGGTTACTTGTTAATGGCTTGGAAGAACATCGACCGAGAATCGAACTCGGACCACATGCGTGGTTGGTGAGCATTTGACCACTGAACCATTGACGCATTAGTCGATGATAGATAGCAGTAAAATCCAGAACGCGCATTCCTCTGAAATTCACACCCAGTACCCATCGCTTGAAACATCAAAGTCTTATCCATTAGGCCAGTGATTCAAAACTGTCACCTCCTGTGAAACAAGTATCAGATGAACCGAAATACCTGATCACTATTAACAATATCGATTCCTAGTACGGACACTTCATCAAATATCTTGAGATTAACGTATTATGAATTGGTCAATAATTAGCTAGCCATGAAATCCACGATGTATGTCCTTAAAGGCATTATCAAAACTTTCGTACAGGAAGTTGATCATATCAAGTAGATGCTATGGAATTCGGTCTAGTTATTGAATAATAAATTCATCGGGAACTTCAAAATCATCGTTAATGAAAATACATCAGCTTAAATTGATAGAATCTATTTTTAAAACTAAATACGAGCATTCCTGTCATTCAATCATTCGTTCATGCATTCATTCTAGACTTCAAATAGATTGTGACTAAGACGGAATCATCAAATACTGAAAACCAGCTAAGTTACTATAGAATAAATATTTACCTTTTTTACAAAATATATTCAACTGTTAAATAATAATTACACTGATAATATATTCTTCTTCGAATGCATCAAAGATATATACAGGTTAAGCGTAAATAGTGTACACATTATCTCTATTTACTCACTTATTCATTCATTCATTCATTCAATTAACTAGATTCTCTTCACATTTATCATGTCGTCTTATCTCGAAAATAGTTGTTGTACAAAGTTCACTGTCATTGTACATAATAACGTGTGAATGAATGAATGAATGAATATACGCCATTTACACAACTTCTTTGGGTTAAGTAAACTCACCGTCTCTCTCTCTCTCTTTCTCTTTAAATCAGTAACTCACTTATCGACACACAAAGAGAGAGGCATAAACATATGTTTACATGCCTTATTTGTTATCTAAGCTTTGTATGTGTAAG